ATTCTCTACTAATAATTAGTTATTTTTTACTAATTGATGAAAACGAATAATTAGCCAACATTTTACTAACAATTACTTCTTTATTTTAAATTATAATTATACTATTTTATTAAGTTTTAAATTTTTTAATAAATTTTTGGCTCAAAGTTACTAAGATTTAGTAAAAATTTTTACTAACTTAAAACAGTAGAAAATTTTACTGATTTAAATGAATAGAAAGTTTTACTAATTTAAATTAATATAAATTTTAACTAATTTAAATTAGTAAACTTTTTACTAATTCAGATTCAGAGAGTAATTACTAATAATTAGTTATTTTCTACCAATAATTAATTATTTTTCACTAATATTTAGTTATTTTTTACTAATTGGTTATTTTTTAGAAATAATCAGTTATTCTTTACTAATAAATAAATGTAAATTAAAACCAAAAAAATTTAAGTTAGAAAAAATTCGTCCACTAATTAAAAGTAGTAAAAGTTTCCACTTATTTTTAATAGAATATTTCTAAATTTTTTTTTTTTTTTGCTAAATTTTTGAGTGGAAAGTTACTAAAAATTAGTAGAAATTTATCCGAATTTAAGTTTGTGAATTTTTTTTACTAATTTAGATTCAGAGAGTACTTACTAATAATTAGTTATTTTTTACCAATAATTAGTAATTTTCTACTAACATTTACTTATTTTCTACTAATATTAAGTTACTTTCTACTAAAAATTAGTAATTTTCAACTAATTTAGATTTACAGAGTAAAAAAGAAAAATGATGGCGAAAATATATTTTCAAAATCGATGAAAAAGGGAACAAAATTTTTTCTTTTTGGCATTATAGTTTTTTGAAAAAGAAACTTAAAAAATACATGTACATAGATATAAAAAAAAGAGAAGGATATTTTTATAACTTTCAGCATAAAACTTTTCAAGCTTAGAGAACGTTACAACGTAAAGTTTAGAAAATGCAATTTTTACCTCGTACTTCTGTCAGCATTGAGCTTCTATATATTTTCTGCCGACTAACACTTTTCTTATAAAAATGTTTTTAAAATCTTTTACTTGTACTTTTTAAATTGATGTTATTACTGACAGTAATGAGAAGTCACTTTCCGGGACACATTTAAAAAAAACAATTTAGAAATAGAGAAAAAAACAGAAAATGAAATTAGGTTGAAAAATATATATTCTTCTGGCAAAAATTGAAACTAATAAATTTCCAGAATAAATTTACGGAAATAACTGTAAATGATCGATTTGAAAAAGATTTTTGTAAAATATAAGCAAAGAAATTATTTTGTAATTAAAAAGAGCCTAAACAAATAAATGAATAACTTTAAGCCTTTTTATTACCAAATAATTAAAAAACGGTTTTTAATTTTTAGAAAAAATATTAAAATATTAAATAAATTAAAGTAAATTATAAAAGTAAATTTTCAGAAAACCATTTGCGTGGAAGTTTTATAAAAACACTAAAAATGTCTGCAAAAATAAGAAATAATGCTAATTGCAAAAGGAATAATTAATTTTTTGTTTCTTCTTTTTTTTTTAATAAAAAGAAAGCCCGATATATTTTTCTATTATTTGAAAAAACATTCTTCCGCTACAAAGCTATTTTTCCAGTGAATGGAGAAATACAAACAAAAAGTACATTCGCACTCCAATCAAATTTAATCTACCCGATAGCAGGAAAAATTAGGGAAAAATGAAATTTAAATTTTCATTTTACATTTCATAAAAAACAAAAAAATGTTCTTTATGGTTCAAAAAAAAAAAAGAAAATTCAATTGTTTACGAATACAAAAAAATTGAAAAGGATTTTATAGCTACTTGTAAAAATAAATAACTGACAATTTTTAAAATAACCAAAAAGTAAACGAATACATTGTGTAACATAAATAAATTAAAGTAAACAAATTAATAAAAAAATCTAAAGTAAACATAATAAAGTGAATCAAATTAATAACAATAAAGAAAATAAACTAAAAGAAATAAAAAAATTTTGAGAAAATAATAAAATTATTAGTTAAATAAACTAGAGTAATAAATTAAAAAAACTAAATAAAATAAAATTAACTAGTAAATAAAAGAGTAAAAATTAACAAGTAAATAAAGGATCAAAAATTAACAACTGAATAATAAATAATCAAACAAAAAAAATACCAAACCTATTCTTAATCGAACGACAGTAAATTATTAATTTTCATTAAGGAATTTCATAAATAAAATTGCTCAATTTAATGACAGCGGTAATTATCTTCTACTCCCGAGAATTCATAATTTCACCAGAAATTAATACTTTTAGGCAAATAACGAAAGAAAATTGCTTATACTAAAATAATTAATTATCGAATGGACACTAATTAATTAATATAACTTGACATTTTACTTTCACATAAATACACACATCCCCACATAAGCATATATACTCATAAAATTTAAAAATAATTCCTAACGTAAGTCTTCTCGCAATTCTTGAATTATGTTGAAAAATGTGTATATAATTTAAAAACTAATTTATTTAACCGTTTTATGAGGGAAAAAAATAATTTTTTTTCTTCCTTTCAAAGTTAATTATTCCCATATATGCGCACAAAAAAAAGAGAAATTACTCAAACAGCAGTTATTTTTTATCAATAGGAAGATTAAAAAAAAATATTTTTTTCTACCTATAGAGAGAATGATAATAAAACAAAAACTCGACGTAAAATATAATTATTTTTTATGTCAAGTTCTTGTTTTTTCAAATTATTTTTTTTTAGTTTTTAAAAAAAAGTTACCGTTTCTCTAGAGATATATAGTTAAAAAAAATTAATTACTCTTTATGCGACTTTATTAATTATTTTCGTGAAAAGCTTCCGCAAAAAATTGATCATTTTATGCTGATTTTTTTCGACAAAAATGAATATTGCCTTGTATTCAGAATTTTGCAAATATTTTTTGTTCAGGGGAAAGGGACTGAATTTTGCAAATATTGAAGAATTTTGTGCTTTTTAATTTATATTGTTATATAATTTATTTATATATATAATATTTATAAAAATATTAATGTTATCAACTCTTGCTTTTGAATTAGTAAATTTTACTTTTAAAATTAGTAGAAACTACTATTTAATAGTCAAATTTACTATAATTCGAAAGCAAAAAATCAGTCACTGATTCAAATTAACAAAGAGTTTTAATAATTCAAATTAAGATATAATATTAACGAAAATTTTACTAATTTTAGTCATTTTTACCAAAAATTAATACTATTAATAATAATAATATTAATAATAAATGAACATTACTAACAATATTAACAACAATTAAAATAATAACTTTCCGAATCAATTAGTGAAAATTTAGAGAGAATATTAACGAAAATTTTACTAATTTTAGTTATTTTTACCATAGACATGAATATTATTAATAATAATATTATTTATTAATATTATTATATTATTAATAATAATATTATTTTTTTTTATTTTTTACTATTTTTTCTATTATTTTGTATGAAATTTGTTAATTTTACTATTTTTTTTTACTATTTTGTATCAAATTTGTTAATTTTACTAATTTTAATCATCATTGTTGTTTGGTACAAGAATTTTCATTTTTTGTGTTCAAGAATTCAAGTTACTTTTACTGTTTGGCACAAAAGATTCTAAGTCTCAGTCATTTTTATTATTTCGAACAAAAATTTAATTTTTACTAATTTTAGTCAACTTTGCTGTTTGGTACAAGATCTTTCAATTTTTCTTTTTGAGAATTTGAGTCAATTTCACTGTTTGGTACAAAAATTTCAAAATATCCAAAGTTACTAATTTTCAGTCATTTTTACTATTTCGTTTGAAAAGAATTTTAATTTTTACTAATGTTTAGTCATCTTTGCTATTTGGTACAAAAAGTTTTAAGTATTCACTAATCTGAGTCCTTTTAATTACTTGGTGGGAAAAATTTCTAATGTCACTAATTTTAGCCATTTTTACTATTTTTTATAACAATATTTAATATTTTACAAATTTTGTCCATCTTTGCTATATTTGGTACAAGAATTTTTACTTTAACTAACTCCAACAATTTTTACTGTTTGGTACAAAAATTTCTACTTCTGATTCTAACAATTTTCACTTTCTAATACAAAAATCTTTCAATTTCACTAATTTTCACTAATTTTCACCCTCGCGAAATAAAATATTTTACTAAATAAATACAAAATCTACTAAATAGAAAATTCACTTTTTGGTACAAAAATCTTTCAATTTAACTAATTTTCACCTTCGCGAAATAAAATACTTTACTAAATAAATAAAAAATCCACTAAATAAAAAATTCACTTTTTCATACAAAAATCTTTCAATTTCAATAATTTTAACTAATTTTCACCCTCGCGAAATAAAATACATTACTAAATAAATAAAAAATCTACTAAATAGAAAATTGGTACTGGTAACAAAAAAATTTGCTACCAGTTTCAATTTACGGACAAGTTTCCGTTAATTATCATTCAGCGAAATTAATTATTATTAATTAATTACAAATTAAAATTTCAGCCATAGCATATTTTTGGAATAAGACATAAAACATTAAAGTAATCGTCGCACTAATTGTCGGAGGAAAATGCAACAATCTAATTTTATAAACGAAAAGATAATCCTAATTTCATTAGTCCAAGTTAATTTAAATCCTTAATCGGAAAACTATATAAATAGAGCATAAACCCCTTCCCCCAAAAACAAACAACCCAAGACACCTGTCGCCCGCTTCCGAATTAGATTTACCTGCTCTCTGTTTACTCCAAGAGGAGAGTCATAAATTTAAATTGACTTCACCTTCTCTTCATTAACACTGTTATGAACTTCATTTTAAAAACGAAAAGAAACAAGAAAAATTGCGAGAACAAAATATGGAGTATATTTTAACGACACAAATCAGCCCAACCCTTAATATATAGGAACGAAACGCCGGTTCACTTATTTTAACGAATTCGTACTTTTAAAAACTAGAAAATTTCATTATACGCACCTTTATTAATTGTTTATTAAATGTCCCAATGAAGAAAACTTGAGAATTAAGAAGAGATCCTTTGTTTTGTTGTCGAAAAAACCAAAATCACATAATTCACTTAGAAACAAACAAACACTGATAAAAACATGAACACCGGGCGAAAAACCACACTGTTGATGATTAAAAAAAACAACTGCAGTTGACAATCGAACAAGTAAGTACTAGTTTCGTACCAACGCAGGAAAATTGAAAACAAGCGGGAAAGAGAGAACTTTTCTTCCAAGGGGTTAAAAAATCACAAAAAGAAACACTTTTACAAGGGGAAAAAACTCCTTTTTTCCCAAAATCGACGAAATTTTTATTCGCGCACTTTGTCAAAAAAAAAATCAAATCTGTTCGTCGGCACCTGTCAAAATCGTATGTCGGCGAGGGATAATCAGAAGAAGAAGAAGAAGAAGAGGAAGAAAAAAAGTTAAGCCGGCTTTTAGTCAGATAAGTGTTTCTCTCGTAAATATAACAGAGATTATATTCCTTTTCTCAACTACCGGCAATTTTTTCCTTCTCAATAAACTTTTTCGATTTTTAATCAAAAAACAGAAAAAAAAATTTTTTTCCACCTCTTATCAACACACACTATTTTTTTTAAAAAAAAAACTCCTTCGGTATTATAACAATGGCGTCGCGGGCTACGATCGGCAAAATGAACATGTACGCCGCTGGAAAATGAAACGAACCGCAAAACCTGACCGCGTGAACATACATTCAACTCTGGTCGGTCAGAGAATACTCCCGTCTCTGGTCTTGTACTCTTGTAGTCGTAGGTAGTCAGCGACGAGGGATTCACTGAAGGTAGGGCGGGAGCACCAGTGACACATGCGCATTTAGCGCCTCTCACGACTTTCCAATCGAAATTGTTAACAGCAACAGGAACAAAAGCAAATGTTGTTTAAAATTCGCCAACTTGCAAAATTACAAAACACTCGAGTAAAAGGGTTAATATCCCCTTCTGTTTCAATAGAGAGAGAGAGAGAAAACGATAAAATTGTTTACACACTCGCATCAACTAGATCGGTTTTTTTTTCTTCCCTCTCTGACTCTCTCTCTCTTACTCTCTCTCTCTCTCTATATATATATATACACGTACACCTATGTCTGGAAAACGTTTCTAACAAAGTGTATAACAAAGTAAAACGACCTACGGGAAATCATTCCAAGAAAAGCAATCATTGACAAAACGTTTTTAAATAATTCAATAATGACAACAAGGGGGATATAAAAAAAAGCAGCGAAATTAGCTGTAAAATGTAGAAAAAAAATTAACAATTAGGAGAAAATGGAAAAAATTTTCCCAAAGTAATTCCCGAAACAATTTATTTGAATTACAACAAAATTTTTTCTAAATCAAACTTCAATGTAATACAAGACGAAAAAGAAACGAATTAAGTAATTTTTACTAGACTTTTGTAGTATAAATACAATTACTGATTCAATTTAATAAAATAATTTTAATAATTAAAATGTAGATTGACAGTAATCGATTATTACTTATTAAAAAAATTTATACATTTAATTTATTTTTATTGACTTTTGTAACCTGCATGTCTGAAATTATTTACCATTTATTAGTAAACATTAGTACATTTTACGAATAAATTACTATTTATTTGATAGAATTTAGTAAAAATTAGGATTTATTAGTAAAATTTACTTTTTGCTTTCGAATTTGTAAATTTTAGTAATAAATTAGTAGAAATTTCTATTCATTAGTAAAAATTACTATTTATTTTAGTAAAATTTACTTTTTGATTCCAAATTTGCAAATTTCATTAATAAATTAGTAGAAATTTCTATTTATTAGTCTGAAATTTTTGACCAATTTATTAGTAAAAATTAGCGAAACCCCTATGCAAATTTTGCTATTCTCGCGATAAATTGTACTACTTCCGAAAAATAAACAGTTTTTAAGTAAGTAGTAATATTTTAGTGAAAAATAAATTTTTAAGCAAATAATAATCGATTACAGTCAATATATTTAAATTTTTTTATTAATTTTAATTAGTGACTAACTTTTTGCTTATGAATTAGTATACACTTTACTAATAAATTACTATTTATTTGGTAGAATTTAGTTGAAATTAGAATTTATCAGTAAAATTTACTTTTTGCTTCGGAATAAATAATAATATTTCCGAAAAGTAAACAAGTTCTAAGTAAATAGTAAAATTTTAGTTACGAATAAATTTTTTAATAAATAATAATCGATTACTGTCAAACTAGATTTTAATTATTAAAATTATTTTATTAAATTGAATCAGTAATTGTATTTTTGCTTTTTAACAAGTTAATTTTACTAATAAATTACTATTTATTTGGGAGAAATATAAGAAGAAATTGGAATTTATTAATTAAATTTACCATTTGTTTCCAAATTTGTAAATTTTATTAATAAATTAGTAAAAATTTCTATTTATTAGTAAAAATTACTCTTTATTAGTAAAATTTACTAATATTACTGAATTAAATTAGTGAAAATTACTATTTACTACTAAAATTTACTAATTTTACTGAATTAAATTAGTGAAAATTACTATTTACTACTAAAATTTACTAATTTTACTGAATTAAATTAGTGAAAATTACTATTTACTACTAAAATTTACTAATTTTACTGAATTAAATTAGTGAAAATTACTATTTATTAGTAAAATTTACTAATTTTACTAAGAATTAGTGAAAATTACTATTTATTAGTAAAATTAAATAATTATATTAAATTAAATGAGTGAAAATTACAATTTATTAGTAAAATTTATTTTACTTTTAAATTAGTAAATTTTACTCATAATTTAGTAAAAATTACCGTTTATTAGTTAAATTTACTAAATTTACTGAATTAAATTAGTGAATATTACTATTTACTACTAAAATTTATTAATTTTACTAAGAATTAGTAAAATTACTATTTATTAGTAAAATTTACTTTTAGCTTTAAATAAGTAAATTTTACTAATAAATTAATAAAAAGTACTGTTTATTAATAAAATTTACTAATGTAAAAGCTAAAAGTCAGTCGCTAATTTAAATTACTAAACTTTTTTACTAATTCAAGTTTAGAGAGTAAATAAAACATTAGTAAATGAGAACTTTTTAGAAAAAAAAACTATTTATTAAATAATAAAACTATTTTTTACATTTTTAATCCATTACCTTTTTTAAACTTTTATTAGTTACTAAATAATAATATTGTTTATGAATAGAAAATGTTTTGTAAATAAGAAAACTACTCTCTAAATTTAAATTAGTAAAAATGTTTACTAATTTTTACCAGTTACTGACTTTTTGCTTTTGAATTAATAAGTTTTACTAATAAATAGTAATTTCATCTAATTTATTAGAAAAATTAGTAAATAAATAATAATCATTAATAGAATTAGTACATAAGAAGTAATTAGTAGAATTAGTAAATTATTAAAATTTTATAGTAAATACTAATACAATAAAATTGTAGTAAAAAATATAGTTACGGTAAGATTACAAAATTGTAATTAAAAATAAAATTGCAGCAAAGTAACAAAATTGCAGTAAATAATAAAATTGTAAATATGAAAAAAATTGGACTAAATAATAAAATTGCAAAAAAATAACAAAATTCCACTAAATATTGAAATTGCAGTTAAAAATATAGAATTTGAAATTTTTTTTCGTTTTTTTAGATCAACTTTTTTCTAAAAAAAATAGTGATTTTTAATCATTAAGCAAGCTTTTCAGGAAAAGTTATTAAAGTCTTTTATTTAAAGATCAGTATGTAAAGTAAGAAATTTGCTACATTAGACAAAAATAATGAAGCTAAATGCCATAAAAGAGAAGAAAAAATGTTGAATTTTAAGAAATTCGGTTTTTTGAATTTTTGCTAATTTTCCATAATTTTAGATTTTTTACCAAAGGGTGGAGACTATTAAATAAGTAAAGTATTTTTGAAGAGCACAAAAATAATGAAGCTAAATGCCATAAAAGAGAAGAAAAAATGTTGAATTTTAAGAAATTCGGTTTTTCGTATTTTTGATAATTTTTGATTTTTTGCTAAAGGGTGGAGACTAGTTGTAGTAATAAATAAAATTAAAGACAAATAAAAAAATTGCACTAAATAATAAAATTGCAAAAAAAAAGAAAATTCTACTAAATAATGAAATTGCAGTAAAAAATAAAGTTGCAAATTAAGAAAATTGTAGTAATAAATAAAATTGAAGAAAAATAAAAAAAAATTGCACTAAATAATAAAATTGGAGCAATAAATAAAATAGTACTAAATAATAAACGTAACTGAACTACAAAATTCTAGTTAATAAGAAAATTTACCTCGCCTATTATTGTTAGTAAAATTAACTCCAGAACTATATGTATAGTAAAACTAATAATCAAAACTTCTCGCAAAAATTCCAGACAATTCACAAAATAATTACACACAATGATTCCGCGTTGAAAATAACAATATAAATCCGTACTAATTTCCCCCTCATTCCAAGCAGAAAAAAAAACAAACAGGCAAAAGAACTTTTCCCCACAAAATTTTCCGCAAAATTAAACATTTCCTAAGGAAAATTTCCAAATAGTTTCCAAAGAGTACTTTTGAAATGGCAAAACTTTGTCTGACTGTTTTAGAATCCGACGGCTCATGTATTCCTACCTACCTACATGTAAATTCTAAATGTAAGGACAAGAGAAATGTAATATCAGAGTAATTGAATTTTAAGTAATTTACTTTGTATATTAACATTAATATATATGTATATCAAGTAATTTGCATATTCTACTCGTGCGCGCGCTCACATATGTACCTTGTAAATATATATATATATATATATATGTATAGAATTAGTGATGATGATTTTTTTTCCTCTCTTCCCTCTTTACTTTCTGACAGAAATGCTCTTTGGATGAATGAAGAGTAATTGTGAGTGAGTACAAAGTGATGGTGAACACAATAAAAAACACAACTGCTTTGCTCTTGTTACAGCTTGATTTCAGGGAGCTTTGTCTCCGAATAAACTGGCTAAGTCTATCCTTCTTACACGGGGATCTTAAAGATGTTACACTTCGAATCAAAAGATTCTTCTCATTCATTTTTAAAAACAAAAATAAAATAAAATAAAAACTCATTCACGAATAATTTTGAAAAATATTTTTTACAATCATCAATAAAATAATTAAATGTTCCAGAAAATAATGAAAATAAAGAATTTATTTATCGCATAAATATTATTAATTTAAACACGAAAATAAATCCAATTTTGGAAAAATTACAAATGTAACTGCAGAAATTCAATTATTTTCAAGAGTGATAAAATTCTTCTCATAAAATTCAATTATTCAATATTTATTTAATTATCTTTCAAATTTAAAAAAAAAAATTCTCGTCAAAATCCCAATTATCTTTGTAAATAACAAAAAATTCTTCCCCAAAGTTCAATAATTTTCAAATCAATTTCAAATTCCCAAAAATAGTACGCAAACATTTAATTATTTTCATAAATAAATAAAAATTTCTCAGGAATTCAATTATTTACAAATTTTTTATAAATTACTTCGCATTTATTACAATTATTTTTATAAATAATAAAATTTTTTTTAAACGAATTCAATGATTTTCATAAAAAATAATTAAAAATTGTAGAAAATAATAATTGATTTTAAATGATGAAAATAATTTTGAAAAAGTTACTGTAATAATATTCAATGATTTTATCACTCGGTCATCTTTAATTATTAAGATCCTAAAGTTCTGAACGTTCAAATGAACGAAATTGATTTATTTCTTCTATAAATTAAATTTTTATTGCAAT